TATTTATCATCATCATCGATAATAATATTTATTGAGCACCCACTTCTTTGTTCTCATCAAAACCTCACCACATTGCTATGAAGCATCTCACTTTCAGGGTCCGTACCCAATAAATATCATTGATTTATTTTTTTTATTTTATTTTATTTTATTGTTTTGGTACTGGGGATCAAACTCAGGCCCTTGTGCTTGCATTGATTTATGAATGAACAAAGAGGTAAGTGAAAACTTTCACAGTAGCTATTATCTTTACTTACAGATTAAAAAAACTTTTTACCCAGGGCTTACACTAAGATGAAGATTTTACTATAGAGAATATAATAAAATATAATGAGGTTCCTTATTATCACTAAGATAGGGAAGTGTACTTTTTGGCTTTCTCAAAAGTAGATATACACACAATTCTAATATAAAATTCGAAAGGAAACTAGGTCAGCCTCAGTGGTGCATGCCTGTAATCTGAGCAGTTCAAGAGGCTGAGGCAGGAGGATTGCAAGTTTGAGCCCAGTGTGGGCAACTTAGGGAGACTCTGTCTCAAAATAAAAAATAAAAAGGAGCCCACATGGTGGCACACATCTGTAATTCCACAGTTCGGTCCAAAGTACTACCTAAAAAAGGAAACAAATAAAAGACTAACAGTAGCTCTAACCTGATTTTGGACAGTAGTTCTCCTCTATCTGCACAGTCTACACTGACTTGTCGAATAAGTTCATGAAATACTGTGTTGTAAATGGTCTGCTCCTTCTTTAACATATGCAGTAGCTGGTGCATCTGGCAAAAGATAAGCAAAAAAATCAGTCCTTATTGTCAGCCATTTTAGGAGCTGAGAACTCTGAACAAATTTTAGTTAACAGTTTCAGTAACATTAATTTTCACATACACACACAAAATAATATATGATTTTTAAAATCTGTCTAATTGTGCACATTTTTATATGGCACACTGAGAAGATGACAGCATCACTTGTATTCTATGCTGCCAAAAAATTTTAAAACCTGGATGCGACCATGAGCACACATCAGACAAGCCAAAACTGAGGAATATCTGACAGAGTAACTGGCCTGTGCTGTTCAAAATGATCAAGGTCAAGAAAAACAATAAAGGCTACAGAACTGTTTCAGATCAAAGTGGTCTAAAGGAACATGACAACTGGAAGCGCTGTGTGATGCTGGGATGCCAGGCTAAGCAGAAGAAGTAGCTAGGAAAGCCATTACAGGGACAACTGATGAAACAGGAAATTTGGTTAGGACTATGTTAAGTAATACTACCATATCAATGTTAAATTTCCTGATTTTAATGCAATGGATATATAAAAGAATGCCCTTGCTTTTACAAATAAACCCTGTGATATATGGTAGCAGAAGCCAGATGTCTCCAAAGTAGAATAGTCCAGAAAAACTATGCATATATAATAGGCAATGAGAATAAAAAAACAAATAGGGAACAATGTAAACAACAGGTGGGAGAATTTGGGTACTAGGATGTGAATGACCCTTCTAAATATATGCTGAAATTTAGTGGCTATTGTAACAATATTAAAAGGTGGGACTTTTGGCTAGATGTGGTGGCACACAGCTGTAATCCTAGCACGTGGGAGGCTAAGGCAGGAGGATCACTAAGTTTGAGGCCAGAACGAGCTACATAGTGAGTTCAAGACCAGCCTGAACTGCATAGCAAGACCCAGTCTCAAAAACAAACAAAAACAAAAGGTGGGCCTTTGAAGAGGTGACTAGACATGAGGGCTCTGGCCTCGTTAAGTGGATTAATGCTGTGATCATCACAGAAATAGCCTCCTGCTTACTTCAGGCCGATTTCTTCTACCTATCCTATGAGATCAGCTGTCCTTCCACCTTCTACCATGGAATGATGTAGCATGAAGGCCCTCACCAGATGCTTCTGCCCTGCTTTTGGATTCACCAACCTCCAGAATCATACGTCAAATAAACTCCTACTGTTTATAAATTTGACACTTTGTGATACTCTGTTACAGCAACAGAAGGTAGGCTAAGACAATGGGTAAAGGCTCTATCAGGTTGTCTTGTACTAAAAATTTTTGTAAGGTTTAAACTCTATACAAAAAATAAATCACACAAAGAAGAAATAGCCCTATTAAAGAAAACAATTTCTATGTAAGGTTGGAAGAGTATTTTCATTAACTACAAAATAAAAGTTACAAGTGGTAAGAAAGCATGGCTTAAATGGCAGAGTTTTTTTAATAGTACATAAAGTAATGAGGTCTTTTAAAGGAAATATTAAATGCTGGTGAGGATACACTAAATGGAGACACGCATTTTAGAGGGAATGTAAGTTAGCATAGCCACTATGGAAAACAGTATAGGGGTTCTTCAAAACACTACAAATACATAGGATTCAGAAATCCCTCAGTTAGAAATATATATTGTCTTAAACACTGGTTACACTGATCTTTACAACTACCTTGGTTGGTCCTGCATATTCCCGATTTTCTACACCAGCCCTCTCTAGCATAGTATCCATCACTTCCTTCAGCTGGACCACTTCCACTCTTCTGTTAGGTTTCCTAAAAAGAGTAAGGTGGCCAACATGCAAACAATATTTTAACATCTCATGCTCAAATGACAAAAAGAATAGAAAATTTATAAATAGGATGTATAATTATGGAATAGTAACAGTAATATGTTAAAGCATTAGACCTGTAACTATCCATCTAGTGGGATGTTAGTAATAGAGTGAAAAAAAACCCAAGAAAACATGTAAATAATATTATCCTCTTCTTAAAAGAAAATAATTCTCCCCTCCAAAGATTCTATATAACTATTATATAAGATGGTAGGAACATATTAAAAATGTGGAGACAAACATCCAAAGTGAGAAGAAAAAGGACAAAGGAAAGAAGACCATAACAAAATATGAATCATTAAATGTAGAATATAAAAGTGTTTCATACTACTTAAATACTATTTACAGTTATATAGATTTGAATACCCAATTGGACATGTGAAAACAACTAATTAGATAATAGAATTGTAGAAAATTATTGTTTGGGGTTCCTGCTATAATTTTGTTTAATAAAATAATAACAAAAAGAACACATGTACATATAATCATTCTTTCTAAACAATAATTTATAGGGCCAGGGATTTAGCTAGGCATAAGATCCTGAATTTGATCCCCAGTACTGCAAAAGATAAATTAAATTAAATTTAAAAATTTAAAAAACACTTTATAAAACAGACCATACTTACATGGATGGGAAGAGCAATAGCCTGTTTTCACTATCCGTGAGAAGAGTAGTATATTTGCTACAATGAATAAAACAAGCACACGTTATCTTAAGAGAATATTTGGGGGCTGGAGCTCAGTGGTAGATTATGTGCTTAGCATGAACACAGGGCTGGCTCTGGCCTCAGCAGGACAGACAGCTTCTCTTCTTGTAGAAGATTAATACCAAGAATATATAAAGAACTGAAAAGCTAACCCCCAAAAAACAAATGACCGATCAAAAAAAGGAACTGAATGGACACTTCTCAAAAAAAGTACAAGTGGTATATGAATTACAATAAATACATTAAAAATATTCAACAGGGAAATTAGCCATTAGGGAAATACAAATTAAAACAACTTTGAGATTTCATCTTCTCCCAGTCATCATGGCTTGCATTAAAAATACATCGAATGAACATCAGTAGGAAAAAGAAACCCTTTTATATTGTTGGTAAGAATGTAAACTAGTGTAGCCACTGATATCAGTATGGAAATTCCTGAAAATAACTAGAAACAGAAATGACCCAGCAGTACCTCTTCTGGATATATTCTCAGAAGAATTAAAGACATATAATACTGTAGTGAGACCTACATACTAGTTACAGGGGCACAATTCACAATAGCTAAGCTCTAGAAACAGCCTCAACGCCCACAAATACATGAATGGATATAGAAAATGTAGTATATATGCACAGCAGAATATTATTTGAAATCAGGTCATTTGCAGAAAATAACCTTGAGAGCATCACCTTAAGAGATATAAGCCAGACTCAGAAAGTTAAATATTACATTTTCTTTTATATAAGAAATCTAAAATATAAATAAACAGATTAAGACTGAGTGTGGTGGCACATGCCTGTAATTCCAGCAATTGGGAGGCGGAGGCAGGAGGATTGCCATGAGTTGGAGGCAAGCCTAGGCTATATATAGTGAATTGAAGGCCAGCCTCAACTACATGGTGAGACCCTGTCTCAAAAATAAATGAACAAGAGGGGGTTTCCTCAGCTGCCTGTCGGCCTGCCTGCCTGCGATCACCCGGCGGCGTGCGCGTGAGCTCCTGGCCTGCGCGACAACAGACCAGGAAGGCCCCAAAGACTCCGGAGGGGGTTTCCTCAGCTGCCTGTCGGCCTGCCTGCCTGCAATCACCCGGCGGCGTGCGCGCAAGCTCCCGCCCTGCGCGGGAGCTCCCGGCCTGCGCAACAACAGACCAGGAAGGAAGGTAGCTGCGCGGGTGCCCTTGAAACACCCACACGACACCCCCCCTGTTCTCAAAACTCCTGATCAGAGCAGTCCTTAGACCAATTCTGCAGAGGCATAGGTTCCCATGAAGGGTAGTTTTCTGAGCTCCCAACTTTGAACATCTTTAAAGAAAGGGCAGGGGAAACCTGTAATAAAACTGAGTGGAGTTCAACCCTCAGGGTAAGGAAACTAAAGTTAGGCCTTGTAGATTGTGTTCAGTCTGAGTCGTGAGGAACAGCTATTGGCTAGCTAAGACCAGGGGATTGGGTTCCGCATATGACTGTGCATGTGGTATAATATGAGATCAGAGATAGCCTGAAAGAGGACCTTCAAATTCTTTTTCTTTCCCTCTCTCTTTTCTCTTTTTTCCTCAT